TTCATCTTTTACTGATTATCAGTGTGAATTCTTGCTGTTGCATAGTGCTTAAGCACTTCTGGAAAAATAAACCAGGTAATTTCTTCCAAAATAGTGCTTCCCTGGAGAGGAATGGGCACTTTTTTTTTTCCAAGGCACTTCTTAAATTACCCCTTCTCAGGAGAAAGTCAACTCCTCCTCACAGACTCAAACTGAGCGTCATCAATGTGTGGGACATTTTTCTAGAATGCAAGTTACAAGTTGTCAAGCAAATGATAAAGTTTCTTTTGCATTAGCAGCTAGTATGCTGACATATTTAAAGATGATCATCCTTAATTCTTTTATTCACTATGGAAATTACTATATGCACTTTTTCCTGAAGTAACTTTGTCTTCTCATTCTGTGACAGTTTGATATGACACAGTATCCTAAAAATGTTTTGGAAAATCTTCATGGCTGAAATATGTGGGTATTAGTTCTAACATCCCCAAAAATTTGAAGAGGTCAGAAACTGGAGCAGGTATTAAAGTAAATTACTCATTTTCTGGCTCATAACTTCAGTTTTCGCTTGACTTTCATTAGCAGCTGAATGTCTCAGGTCAGAAAAATCTCCAAAGCTTTCTGTAAGTTATTGTAATTGCTGTTCTCCCTTCAGAGTACCAGCAATGAAGCAGAGGATTGGAAATGTCTGTAGGAAGAAGAGCAGCCCAATTGCTTTTGCTGGTTTTGTCTTGAATCAATGCTTTTAATTCCTCACCTATGCAAGTATCAGATTTTCTTTCTAGCTTAGAAAGTTCTCTCTAGCAATGAAAGTTGCCAGTATTTGATAAAAGGTGTGTCTACCTTGGAAAATAGTTTTTAAACTCTGTTGGGTAAATTGATAAAGCAACACTGCTGGGTTAGTCAACGCTTCCTAACTGCCAAGCGTGCTGGTGTAGGGGAAATGGGAAGGGTGAGAGAGTGGAGTAGCAGGAGCATCATCTGTGTGGAAGATACATTACACTTCTTCTTCCTCAGACACAACTGAGAGCAGCTGCTCACCAGGGCTTCAGTAAGCAATCTGGAGTTAAGCAGCCAAATACTGCAGAATGGTTTTTTCCTACTAGTAGAGTAAAATCAGGAAGCTAAGTTGGAATATCAATGGGAGGGTGAGGGTGTTTAAACACTTTCTGTCCTTATGTTTGAATTGTACACAATCTCTTTTTATTTCCATTTAGATTGTTTCAAAAGTTTTACAAAGTGTTTTGCAAAGTATATAAAATACACACAGGCACTTCCACATCCAAGGTTAGGCAAACAGGGTCAAACATGCTGCTGAGTGGAAGAGAAGTGGCAGCTACACATACCAGAGAAAACCCCAGTTTCTACCGATGTGCCATGGGATGTTTGCTGCCCACAGGGAGCAGATAGTCTTATTTAATTGCATCTCCGCTGAAGGGCTCGACAAGGTGTGTTATGCTCCATTTATCTCTTTCCAGAGTCAGCACTGAAAAGTAGGAATTTATATTTCTGTTAGCTGATGTTCTGCATAACGCAGCAGGACGTGAGCATATATGGCCTAAAATGCGAGCAGGTGCTGCTGAGCATGACTCCAACATAAAATGTACACCTTGTAGTACACAAACAAAGAGAAAAGCCACAGCATCTGCATTTTTAGGGTAACAGACTCTTAGCTGATGTGCAACAGCTGCAGCTTCCCAGTAGTGTGTTGCATACAGGCCCTGGGAGGGGCTTTGGCATGGTGTGCCCATGCCTCCCAGCAGCCACGGGCCCCAGGCCCGTGTTCCTCAAGTGTTCCTCAGGTGTGGCACACTCCTGTGCTCTTGACAGGCATCCTTATGGGCCCACTGCCCCTCGCTGGGTGCACCATGCTGCTCTTGTGGAACAGAAACAGACAGCACATTTATTTGCCCAATGTCAGCCTCCTGCCATCTCTCAGTGGGCACCAGGATGTGGCGTGGTACATCCTGCACCAGCCTATCTGCACTGCAGAACATAGCTGGTCCTTTAATGACAATAGCTCAAGCCTTTCTCTTATTTCTTTTTGTGTTGAGGGAGCATGTCTTTGTTTTTTCCTTTTATTTCTGCCTTCTATGGATCTTATCCTACAGGCGTAGCTAAGTGTGATTTACATGTAGACTATGGACAAATTTGGGCCTTGATCCACATAAGAGTTACTAAACAGGCAGGTAAGAAACAGAAAGTTCCACTGCAGGCTCTAAGGAGATAAAAAGATTGAGAAAATCCCCTAAGAAATTCAGTCACAATCCCTAATGTCAGTAAGCAGGCAGTAGCACCTCTATGTTGCACAGAAATTAAATCCTTTCCGAGTTACAGATACTTAAAAGTACAAATAGTACAAGTACAGAGTAGTATGCTGGTAGACTGAAAATATGCTGAGTTTTAATCCAAACATTGATTCTCCCATGTCTCAAATGATTATGGCCTTTCCATCTGAAGTGCATATTAACTCCACAGTATAGCTACACTGCCACTGGTATAGCACCAGAGAAAAGTTGCCTGCTGCTTCATTTTGTTGTTGTTAGGAAAGGGGTGTCAAGGGTTGTAAAGTGTCTGGCCTAATCTGTTGCCCTACTTTAAACAGAACCTGAGTGAAGGCAATCACCTTCTCCTTTTCCCTGGGTTTGGTATGTGCCATAGTTTCTTACAGAAACTGCCAAGGCTGTTGTCATCAGTCCCATATTATGAAAAAACCCTCTAGGTTGACTGCAATTAGCCTTGTAGAATTGAGTTTATCATTCCACTGGACATTAGGTGGTTGCCCATAAACTTGCTCACTGATACCAAAGGTAAATCTGAATCACAAGTAGAAACAATAAACTGATATGTTTTATACAGAATTATTTAAATAGCTGTGTAAAATCTTACTGTGGATTGTATTTCTTTTCAGCCACCATGTATATAATGTTCACAGAATTTTACTGGAACTTGACTGGAGCACATACTGCCTTTGAAAAAACTTGGAATTTTTATGAGAACCCACATTCAGAAAATATTAACATCTGGTTTGTGTCAGCAGCACACTTGAATTTCATATGTTCACTGTTACCTGTAAGGATAAAGACATATAATAAGCATATGTGAAGGAAAGATTCTATGATTATCATTTTATCTGAATAACTACATCTGTTTCTTTTCATAGAGAGAAATTCTAGAACAGCAACAGCAGGAGAGATATGACACAAGTTTTCGTAGTATGTGTATGTTCTGTGATCAAGAATTCACAGGAAACAGGTTTGTTTATTGCCCTGTTTGCATTTAGTTTGTTTTTTCTCATATGGACTCAGCATCTTTGTTTAGGGTTTTAATGTCATCAAACCAGTCAGTGCTTAACAGTAGGACTGAGAAATAATTTTAAGTTATATTTTAAGTATTTCCTTCAAATGCAGTGCCATTTTAAATAGACCCTGTCCTACTTCTCAATCCTTTTTATTTATTCCAGTACAGCTTTTTATACTACACAGTAAGCTGGGGTTGGGAACTAACCATTTTAAAGAGAGAGAGGTTTTTTGGCAGTTGTTTTGGTGGCAAGGAGAGCTCTTTAAGCCAGTATGATGGTTAAAAAAATGTTTCCATCCAGTTGTACATATTCTTATTTAAACCTCACCAAACCAGTGTCAATTTGAATATCAAATTAAAAAGAAATGAGGAAGATTTGATTGAGAATGGGGGTGCTTTGCAGCATCAGTCAAGTGTGAGCAAGAATTGCATCAAAGTGCTCACTCCAAAGAAACTGTTCATACACAGTAAATCAGTTTCAGCTGGAGGGACTGAATGTGTTCACATGGGTAGTTCTGGTACTCTGGAGGTGTAGAGGAACCCGGGGTTATGTCCCTGCAGGTCATCTCAATGTTGTGTGAGTGTCCTGTGCTCTTTACTGTCTGGCCCCCCAGAACTTCATCTGCTGCTTACTCTTGAGTCTGAGAGGATAGAAGGTGTGGTTTGAAAATCATGTATGAACTGTGGTAAAAGCAAGTGTCAACACTTGGATATTTCTTCAGCCCCAAAAGCAGAAGCTGAGGCATGTAGAGAGACTGGGCACCTAAGAAATTAACCAGTATGTCTCTATCAAAAAAATATCTTATTTGAACATCCATTATGTTAGTTTGTGTGTACTTTTGAGTGCCATTCATGTTGCTAGTGCTGTGTGAAGCAGTAGTGATGTAAAAGCATAACACATCCAAGAATTTCTGCTCTGCTAACCAGCATAGAGAAAACTGACAAATGGCTTTTTAGAATGTTTCTCAAGAGGGTTGTTTGAAATGTGATTTGTTTCTACAAGTTAATGACTGAGCTTTGCTAACAGTGAGGGTCAAAATAAACTATACTGTAATTTTCATTTAAAGGATTATATTTCATGCATGCAGATTGAGCAGTTCAAATGTCGCTGAACATTGGGCAGAGATGAAATTGAACACTTCCTGTTTCAATAAAGTTGCATTTTTTCTTCCTAGCATTGGCAGCAAGACTATTATTGTTTATTTAATGTTGGCTTTTATGCATTTTTAGAGCAATTGTTGTATTTCAAGTCACTAATTGAATAGTTCTCATATATATCCAAACATATATAATGTTCTATATGAATGTCTTTTGTAGATCTGTCCTTCTCAATCATATGGCAAGAGAACATGCTTTTAACATTGGGCTGCCAGATAACATTGTGAATTGCTGTGAGTTTTTGGCTGTATTACAGGAGAAGCTAGACAAGTAAGTAGTGTTTTATTTGGTTGGGTTTTTTTAATAGACTTGGGTCATATTTTTTTAACCTTGGAAACAGGTTAGGTTAAAATTAATTCAACATTCATGGTTAGTTAAGAAGAAACAGGGAGATAATGTAAGTTTATTGTGAGTTCTCTTAGAAGTCTTTTTGTTGACTTATTAAAAGCTAATTCATAACAATTCATAGTTTGTGTTTGCTGGAAAAATGAAGTCACACACAGTGCTTTAGTTATTGTTATGCATTGCACAGTTTCTATTGACTTTTATAATAGTATGTGCCTTTTTCTCGTAACTGTTAGCATTAGTCTTCTTTATCATCATAACAATGTTTTTGCTCATCGTCTCTTTAATCACTGAAGTTTGTGTGCCAATCTTTATTTGCCTCTATATATCATTCATGTAGGATGTTTGGTCTCTCCCTTCTGTACTGCTTACAGAGTACATACCAGAGCTGAAGGGGATAGATATATGTTAGCTTTTTCCAGAAATTAAGATGTATTAAGAATGCCTTTTCTTTCATCATTGGTGTTGCCTAATGCACTGAATTATCATGCTCACTGATAATTTGCAGCTCTACTATTTATCAGTAGGACCTGAGGCTTTCAATTAGTGAGATTTTCTCAAAGCCAATCCTCTCTGTAGTTAATACACATGCTGAAATTGTGTCCAGAACAGTAAAAGGCCACTCCTCCTACTGCTAAGAATAGACTTAATAGCTATGCTAGTTGAATAGCACCTGAAAATAAATTATTAATAGGAGAAAAGTTTTGTTTTAGGCAAATATGACTACATTGTGTGTGGTTTTTTCCAATAAATTTTCTATTTCATTTACCTTGCTCTCACCTACTTAGGATCGATCTTACTGTATATAACTCCAGTTTATTTAATGCTATTATCTTGTACTATTTGCATTTTAACTGGTTGACCTGTTTACCTTTTTCTTATAGTTTGCAGTGTTTATACTGTGAAAAATTCTTTAGAGACAAAAACACACTTAAAGATCACATGAGAAAAAAGCAGCATCGCAGAATTAATGCCAAAAACAAAGAATATGACAAATTTTATATCATTAATTACTTGGTAAGTAGTTCTATGAATAATTAGTAAGTTGACTAAAGAGATACAGGCAATATCTTGTTCAAAGTGAGTAATTCCACACCAGCAATTAGTATATAGGTCAAAAATCAAGTGAAGGACTCTTAAATCTGCTCATTCACGGTATGATATTCTGGATAATTTTTAAACTAAGCACTAGTAAACATTTGTTGTTGAGAACTGATTTTGAGAGATGCAAGAATGAAGCTTGAAGATACACTAATCATTATGTCATTAGTGCTCAGTCTCTGCTTTAATAACCAGAAAGAAAATGAGATAGAGCAATGAAGTAAATGGAAGTCTAACTTGTATTCTATTGGCTTTGAGCTCATTTTCTACAAACCTTAAGCTGGAAGTGTTCTTCAGAGTATGAATGAAAGGCAAAGAGGAGGAAAATGAAAGATATGCAGATGAAAGAAAAAGCATAATTTTTAGCCTCCAGGTAGGTGTATGTTGCTAAATATTTTTTTATCTGAGACCTGTGAGAGTGTGGACACCTGTATGTAACAGATTTTCACTATTGCAGCTTGAGAACATAAGAGCTGCCTTCAACTTACAAACATAGGAGCTGCTTCAAAAGCATAACCCTTTATTTTTGCACAAAGGAAAAAAAGATTAAAAGGAAGAACCTCAGTTTGTTCACTGGGAGTTCAGTCGATTGGCCTTTACATTGTAAGGAGAAAACATTCTGTACTGCACATACGTGGTCTGCAGTAGATCATATTACAAGTGATAGGATGGGGTTTTTTTTCTAGCTGAGTCTATATTCAGTAAATTCTAGATGTTACTCCAGGTCTGCTTTCTCTAATGACTCGATGTAGTGATTTTGCTTCCTCTCCCCTGGCACCTCACAACTTGCTAGAAGATATTTTTAGATTTTAATGTGTACTATCAAGCTTTACTGACTTATGAACAAGTGTTAAAGGTCTGTGTTTCACGTTGCTCTAAATGTCCAGGGGAATTAGACAATTTTACAGACACAGACATGGTTTACACATCTTATCTGAAATGATAGATGTAGTGTTTCAAAATTTGCTACTGATTTCACCTTAACCCAAAGATATAGGCATACAATTTACCTATTTTTGTATGTTTCCACAGAAGTGTGAATTTTGATCTTTATATATGCCAGTTTGATCAAGGGTTTTTTCACCATAAAGAGACTATAAAACTAAGTAGGTCTCTAATGATAAACATCAATATTGTCACAGTCTTACCCACTTTACCTTTAGGATATGCACCATAAAGTTTTTCTGTCAGCAACTGGATCTTAAGTTATTGAAATGCATAGTTCCTTATTACAACCATCTTACAGACATTATTATCCTTTTTTTATAATTTTCCATTACATATTCAGCAAGCACTGCATAAAATAGTCTTACTAAGCTGGAACTGGCAGTTTCCTTTATTTTGTGGCTTTTGTACTGAGAGGTTTTAAGGGCTTTTTGTTCAGATGGCCTGTGAATGTCTGCTGAATTGCCTCATGATCTTCTGGCCAATTCTTACTTGTCTTTTTAAGCTGATGGCAGAGCTCCCATTGATTTCATTTATAGCAGTAGGCTTGCCTGCCTTCATCCTTTTGCTCCATTCTGCTTTTGACTTCACTTGTGTTTGTAGAGCACTTGTCAGAATCTGTTTTCATAACATAAGTTACATTTTCTGTCTGTGTGCCGGTACTTCCCTCCCCTGAATTTCCAATTTGGCATAGCAATGAGTAATAAAAGTGCAAATTCCTTTTAAATATTTTGATAATCTGTGACTTTATATGACTTCTGTCATGATCTACCTCTGTATCATTTATTTGTCCACCTCCATATCACTGACACACTCTGTTGCTCACAGGTTAGCATTAAGATAAATTACACATGATCCTGAGTAGGAGGGGAAGCCTTTTTTTGTCATGTGCTTGATAGATTTCTTTCATAAGCAAGTATCAAAAGCTTATTATTAGATAGTTATTTTGAATTACAGAGGGAGTTTTGCAATTATGCAAATGACTTGCAAGGCAGTGGGGTCACTTCCTCAGTGATTTGGAGGTCTTTTGTCACTATTGTGGAAGTGTGGAAGATGATACCAATCCTATTCAGAGAGGCTTGAAGTATAAAGTGAAAGAGACCAACTGATAGTGGAGGGTGAAGAACTGAGCAATAATGAATCCATGATATACATATATATATATAGGTTACCTTACTTTTCTTTCCTCAAAAAACAGCTTCCAAGCTTCCAACCTAATTTTCTTGTTACTCTGCTTGTGTTATCCTGTGGCCCTATGACTCACCTTGCACGAAGAGCTAAGTAAAAATGAAGAGGGAAGAACTTTTTGGTACCTGCTGGGGGCCATAAAAGAACAGAAGGCAGTATTAAAACTTATTCTCGGCCCGAGAATTGAGGCAGATCCAGAGTGACAGGGCCTTCCCTTCTGTATTCACCTGATTGTTACCAGCAGCACTTTCAGTATAGAGTATCTTTGTATGTAGGAAGCACAAATGTCTATTTTCAAATTGGCTAGTAGTGTGTATCTCTGGTATGTAACATCACTATAATGAATGCACTTATGACTAAGCTAGGCAGATGAAAAATGATACTTACAGTAAGCTAGAGAACTTGTTTCATAAAGCCTTTACTTTTCCTCAAAGATATAAAGGTGTTTTCTCCTTGTTGCCAAGCCCTAGATCATCTGTATTATCTGTTGGGGGCCGGGGGAAGTATGTTTTACTATGGGAGCTACTACCTATATTTAGCATGTTTTTGACTTACACAGTGTGTATTTTGTAAAATAGTAAAGGGAAACCCTTTGTTAGCTGATGATAGTTCAAGAATTAATAAAATCCCCCAAGTGGGGCAATGTTTCACATTGAAATCCATCCAATGTGTTTGGGGAAAGGCCATCTCTTGTACCGGATAGAGCATCTCTAGTTCTGCAGCAATATAAAACAACTCAGATAATCATAGCAAGACAGGTGAGGAGAAGGGCAAGAGGACATTTTCAGGGGAAAGCAGCATCTGTTTGGAGTTTCTGAGCTCCACATTCCTGTAACTCTATTTGCATGTAGTTTAGTAACTTCTCTTTAGGGAAAACTGCTTGAAATACCAGCTGCTGTTTCCAGTTTCTCTCATCTCAGCAATTCTTTTCAAGCTGGGGTATGTTGCCTCAGTGAGGCACACAGACCATCTCCCTGTAGAGCTGGTACTCAAGTTGAGAAGGTAAATTGTCAGTGAGACAATTCAGCTCTGTGCATTTAGACTTATTTTTGCAAGCAGAAATAATCAAACCACACACATTTACATTCTCTCCTCACTTTTCTGTAGGATCATCCTCTCTGAGAGGTACACAGTAAGTATTTAAAAGAAAAAGTTGGTTTTCCTTGGATGTATAGAATGGCCTTCAGGTTTTTTTAATTACTCATTTTCTACTGTTTGAACTATCAACAATGTCAAGTCTGGGTTTTTTCTGATTTTATTAAGAATTTCTTGGGATTCTCTAGAGATGATTGCTAGGAGCTCTTGTATCTAGGATGAAAGAGCAAAAAAAAGTTGACTGCTTAACAAAGGCACCCTTGGTCTCAGAAGCCCATCAAGCTGTAGAACTGAAAAAGGGAGTTTAAAAAAAAAAAAAAAAGAGAGCAACCTGAAAGAGTTTTAAGAATGCTTCAAAGAGCTCTTTCCCACCCAATTGCTCAGCTTCAGTCTCTTGGCACTTTCATCACAGTGTCCCTAGTTATCAATTCACCATGCAGTTCTACAGCGATACAAGATCTGGTTAGCTTTTTCCTTTTTCCTTTATTTTTCTCCTCTGCATATAAATAGATGAGGGAAACAGAGACCTCTTACAAGATCCCTCTCTGCCTTCTTCACAGAAACACCATAAAGAAACAGCAGCAATAACAAAGCCTGTGCATGGTTTTTCCTTTTCACCTTTAATTAAAAGGTGAAGCTTATTACTGGCTGCTGTTTTGAACATATTCTTTTGTGCTCATATACTTCAGGCTAGTAAGGAAAAAAACTGTGAGCATTTGTCTCCATTCTGCAGTGGTTGTGAGCCACTATGTGCTCATTAAGGTGTTACATTAGCAGACATAAGAAACTAGCCTGCAGCTGGGAGAACATGTGGTGAGAGGTGTTAATGGCTTCATGTTATCTCACAGTAATGGTGACATTAATGATTCTCCCCTCTAACTCAGTTTACACACTACCATGTAGCATCACTGAATTAATTACAGAATTCTCATTTTGCAGTATATGGTGACATTATTGTCTAGAGACAATTGTTTATCATTTTCCTGATAGACACTAACAGCTTTAAAATTTCTCATTAAATTGTTAAACGATTAATATCCTTTCCTTCTTGTTCCAAACAACCATAAAGGCAATAATAGTACTTGTTACTAAGAATTTTATTAAATGTAGTTATTAGAATCAGTATTTGAGTAAAATTAATGAAAGTGTTATCTTTTTATTAGCAGCCTTTTTTAATGGGGACAAGATCCTCAACTATGATCTTTGTGAATCTTTCACAGCCATCAAAAGTATGGGTTCAAAAATACTGTTCTGATTACTGGTTATTTTTAAAATCAGGAACAATCAGAGGAAAGGAAAACACAACTAAAGATCACTGCTGGTATTTCAGTAGTGCTTAGCTTTTTATTGCCTGTTATTTATATCTCAGGCTGAGAGTGCTTGCCATTGTGCTGAACACTGCACAAATATATTGTGATATACTTTGTGCTGAAGGTTTTTAAGATATAAATAAGCAACACAAAAAGTAAAAGGAAGATCAGAACACCATGAATAGACGTGCTTAAAGTCACATCTGAGACGAGGATGGAAGAGAAACTGGAGTCTGGCTCAAGAGATCTGTGCCCTGGCTCACACTGCCTTTCTGGAGTCCTCCATAGCTAAGTTTACACCCTGTGTTTTCACTGAGACAACCTTGTACAAGGTATGAGCACTGACTGGTGTAGCTGTGCCAACTGAAGTCTCAGGTGTGACAACTGCATTGTTTAAGCAGCATGTGCTGCATGAAGAGCAAGGTAGACAGATTGGATCGAGCAAGTGTGATGGCAAACTTGAGACAGCGATAACACACCCACCTCAGGAACATCTTGGTAGTGGTGCAACACTCTGGAATTTGGTGAGAACTTGTGACAAATCATCTTTCCAGATGTAGGGTGGAGAATGCCCCATTAAAAGACAAAAATAATTGTGGGGGTTTTAAATATTACTAAAGCAGTGTTGTATGACTAGCTTTAACTCACAGAAATACCAAAGTGATCCAAAATAAGGTACTGGTTGTGACTTCTGAGATGTTCATTCAGTTGATTGACAAACATGATATGAATCAGGAAATGGTTTTTTGTTTTCTTTTCTTTTTTCTCCCCAGGAATTTGGAAAGTCCTGGGAGGAAGTGCAGTCAGAGGACGACCGGGAATTACTTGATAACCTAGAAGAGTAAGAGTTACTTATGTGCCCATTACAAAGACTTGCAAGACCATTAGTTTTGAAAGTAGTTACAGGGAAAATGCTGTGCATAGTTAGTACATAGTTAAAATTCTTTTAAGCCAATCAAATCAGCTCCAAATTGGTCTCATTAAAAACACTTCTCAGCAGTAAGGGCTGTAAACTTCATATTTCAACCAAAAACCTTTTTTTTTTTTTGTTTGCCTAGAGCTCAAACACAAGAGCCTTTCAGGTTTATAATGATGTAGAGGAAACGGATCGGTTTTTCTTTTTGTGCAAAAAAAATTTGAATGATTTTTGCTCAAATTTAAAAATCAAGGCATAAAAAATGTCAGCATGAGACAGAAATTGTATGAAAAAAACCTGATAAAAAGGTAATAACTAGAAATTAAAGCAGGATTTCAAAGGAAGCTTCTCAGCAGTGCTGATTGAGGGCAACACCCACCTCCTTTGCATTCTTCTGTGGCCCAGGCCCTCAGATCACTGCAGAGGTGACTTTCTTGGTCATAGAAAATCGAGTAAGAAGGAAGTAGTTTATGGGTATCAGGGTCCCTGATCTTCCTAGTTCTGTGACTTGAGCTTAATTTAACTTGATTATACCTGACTGCAGTAATATTTCTATCTTTCAGCAGTATGAGGGATTTAAGTTGGTCAAATACTCTGTGTGTGCATGTCTAAATGTAGCATAAATGAGTGTCTCTTTCAGGAGTAATTAATATATAAGTGAGTAACAGAATGAACTCTGCCTGATGATTATTACTTTGGCTAATGTATAGAAAGATTTGAAAGGTTTAAAAGAATTTTATAAGACTTATAAAAGTCACTGGAAAAAAAACACTGAAAACAATATTCGATGACTTGCCAAACTGGATAGAAATTGTAGTTAATATGCTGTTTGTTAGTGCAGACAGATTCAAGTAGGACTTAATGCCTGTCTGCACAGGAATTACCCAACAGTAACTGCTCAGTTATTCTCAAATTTGTATTTTTTTAGGCTGTAAACCAGATTGTAATCATGTATCCAGCTATAAATTCACACTGTGTCTTCCATGCCTTTAAAGTATTCAGTTTCTCTGGATTTATTTCTAGTGCTGTGACTGCAGAATCTGAACTGCTCTTTCACAAAATGTCTCTTCTGTTTTCCACAATTAAATGAATCTTTTTGACTTTTAACCAAAAGAGACTGGTCTGACTGGGAAGAGCATCCTGTATGTGCAGTTTGCCTGTTCTGTGAACAACAAGCAGACACTACAGAAAAACTGTATGTTCACATGCAGGTAAGACTTGTTTTAAATGACAGTTTTTTCATCACTTTGGAATTAAAAATTAGGTTTGTAGCGTCTTTGTTAAGATCAAATCAGCTGCTGCATTAGAATGCCCTCTTCAGCACAGAACTGAAGTACTGCATGCAGTATCTGCTCCCTAAAACATGCAGATGAGTCAAGTTTTACATTATGAGTATGACTGGCTATTACTTGTGAGTATATAGACTGATCCAAGCAGTAGTGAAGTAGCATCTTCAATATCATAGAAACTTGAGGATTTAATATATTTAATGGTTAGCATCTGTGTTTCAGTTTTAATAAACTATTTAACGGGAGTGTTAGTGTTTGACAGAATATGAAAGTTCCTGATGAAACAAAACTTTTGAGGTTTGTTTTATATATTAATGTTTGTGTGTCTAGATGTGTATGTCTGTGTCTATGAAAAGCTGAGCTGTTTTTAACTTGGTATAGTAGAAGTGATGGAAATATATTTTTTCTTTGCTATTTTTTTTCCTCCAGAAATCACATGGATTTGACTTTCCTAAAATAAAGTCAGAGCACGGTGAGTAAGAGGTGCTGTAATTGTCAGCATTTGCCACTAGCGTGGAGAAAACCACATCATAAGAATAGTGGAAAACAACTTTATCAGGTTTATTTCTGTATGGACATTTAACTTTTCCATTATGGAAACTGTTTCTGCCAGCTTACAAAAGCAAGCCAAGAGTACTTTATTTGTCTGGAACTGTTGTAAGTGCCAGGGACGTGTGCTGTTTTCTTTAAAACCATTGGATTCTTTTGCAGAGTAGCTTCTACAAATACCTGCCCTATGAGTCCCAGGTCTGGATGCTGGAGCTCTGGGACTGTTGTTATGCCTGTTAACACTTGATTGCAAGTTAGAAGGCTGTACTCGACCTTTGTTTGGCCAATGTTTGCTTTCAGCTGTAGAATAGAACCATTTAGGTTGGGAAAGAACTCTTAAGATCACTGAGGCCAAATGTTAACCCAGCACTGCCAAGTACTCCACTAAACTCTGTCCCTAAGTGTCACATCTAGATGTCTTTTAAATACCTTCAGGGATGGTGACTCAACCAACTTCCCTGGGCCTGTTCCATGCTTGCCAAGCCTTTTGGTGAAAACAATTTTCCTGCTATCCAAATCAAGCCTCCCCCTATCACTTGTTACTTGGGAGAGGAGACTAACCCCTACCTGGCTACATCCTCCTTTCAGGTAGTTGTAGAGAATTGATAATATCTCCCCTGAGCCTCCTTTTCTCCTGCCTACACAGGGGGGAAATGATTGCCCTAGTCCCACTGGCCACACTATTTCTGATACAAGCCAGGCAGCCATTGTCCTTTTTGGCAACCTGGGCACACTGCCAGCTCATGTTCAGCCAGCTGTTGACCAGCACCCCCAGGTCCTTTTCCACTGGGCATCTTTCCCAAGCCTGTAAGACTGCATGGGGTTGTGTGACCCAAGTGCAGGATGTGACACTTGAACATCATGCACTGGCATCCTGCCCCAGGCTCTTCCCTGGTGAGCCTCATTTTATCCCTTTCTTGCTTCAAATCCAGTTTAAAGCTCTCTTAATGAGCCCTGCTAACTCCTGTGCAAAGATCCTTTTCCCTCTTCAAACAGGTGTACCCCATCTGTCACCAGCAGGCCTGGCATCATGTAGACCCACCTATGATCAAATAAACCCAAATTCTTCCAGTGACACCAGGCTTGGAGCCAGGTATTGATGTGCTGGCTCTTCATGTTTCATCCCTCATTGTTCCCTGCAACTGGAAGGACAGAGGAGAGCACTACTTATGTTCCTGATCTCTTAACCAGTTGTCCCATCTTTTTTTCTTTATGGAAGTGGTTTGATGCAGGGCACAGGCTGGATTAACCTCGGCAACACCTCCATGCTGGATGAACCATTGCTCTTGTCATTGTTGGATTCCACTTTTAGAGCCTCACACCTATTACACTAGAGCACCTGGAGGTGGGGCAGTCACGGAGGAGTATGGATTTGTCACCATTGTCCCTTGTCCCTTCAGTCACTGTGCTCAGGCAGGGAATTCTCCGTATCATGCATTCTGTCTGCCTGTTAGGCCCGTTCCAGGGAAGGCAGGGTGTGATTCCAGCAGTCAGTCTCTCTCATTCCCCAGTATTCCTCAACCTACTTGCCTTCTCCCTGAGCTCTGTCTCTAAGCAGAGAGACTTAGACTGAGTATTTGCAGTTTTTACATTAAAAGAAGGATTAGTTCCCCTGCAGCTAGGAAAAATCATTCGTTCAGTTAATTTGCTATGTTACCACATTCAGGCAGTGCTGGTCTTCAGTAAACTTGTATCAATCTTTAGGCTTAATCCAAGAAAGCATTTTTAAATTCTTACATTTTCCAAGCACTTGTTTGCTGCCATCTCTCCTAGGTCTGAACTTCTATCAGCAAGTGAAGCTAGTGAACTTCGTCAGAAGAGAAATCCATCATCGTCGTTGCTACAACTGCCAGGAGAAATTTCAGTCCAAAGGAGAATTGATAAATCATATGGAAGAGACCAAACACATTACATTCCTGCCAGCCAGGTCTACATGGGATCAACCACAGTAAGGGCAAACATGTTTCTTCCAGCATTTATACTTTTACTTGATAATGTCTGTGAAACAATAAGTTGAAAGTTCTGGTTTTTGCCAATGCAACAGTGCCCTGACCTCCCAAGCTCTACTGACCCCGATAAAATAATAAGTGGTCTCAAAACTACTCAGAATTACAAATCTCTGTACAGTCTGAAGCTGCAGTTGACACAGGATACTGCTTTTCTAGTTGCATCCAGGATGCACTGACCCTCTATGTGGGATCTGCACGGTCAGTATGCTAGAGAAGTTAGTCGTTGCAAAATTGTTCTAGAACCAAATCACATCCCTTCTTTTGCATGTCTAATGTAGATATATGCATGAGGTCTACCCAACTGCAGGCACCAGAAAAAGTTGGTTGTTTACCCATAGTATTTTCCTTGGAAAATGAAGAGAGAACGTAACAAAACACTAGTGCAGATTCTAAGTAGGCTGAATAGGTCCTGGGGATGATGCTCTACTGGGTGGTAGAACACAGTGAGTGTTCTAACTCAAACACTTCTGTTCACCATTTCTTATGGTACAAACCTGGATCTGTCTCAATTGTGACAGCATCTGGCTGAAGAAATAGGGGGAAGGGCTTGTCGTCAGCTTTTCTCTCTGACTCTTCTACCTTGTACATACCAGTTGATTTTTTTTTGGGGTGTGCTGTTCACTGTCATTCCAGACAACCACACTTGTTCCTTTTTCCTTTTTTAAAAAATCTAATCTCAGCCCCTCAAAGAAAATATGTGACTATCCAAGAATTATGTCTTGTTGCTTTCAGGTATTATTTTCCTACCTATGAAAATGATACACTCCTGTGCACTCTGACAGACAGTGAAGATGTGATAACTGAGGATCAAAGTGAAGAAGTCCCTGTTGTAAGTGAAGATATAGCCAATCTAAAAGCTCTCAAGCAGAGCAGTATTTTAAACCAGCTCCTGTGTAAAGAGAACAAAAGTCAGAAGAAATTTTGACCTTGAAGGACAGTTGTTGACTTTTGAGTGTTTCTTCTTCAAGACAAAAACAATACATTCTTACACTAATATTGGAATACAGTTTAACTATTACATATTATTAGCACTGGGCAAATATTGTATGAAAGTGAATGCTAAATAAAATTTGTGTTTGAACTTTGTTGGTTTATCTTCCTTTAAATTTTACCTTTATTTTAAAAGTGAGTGATGGATTTTCTGTTTGGCTTTTCAAATACTGTTAGTATTATTCACAAATTTTTCATCTCTTTAATTTTTTTTTATTAATAAATCAGAATTTGAGTTCTATTTTAAGGCCATCTTGTGAAAGGCACAAATAATTGATACAATGTGTCATGACATATGAGCCAATGAGTGAATCTTCTATGTGTTATTGCTGTTAGAGGACACATGAAAAATTTAATTCTTGGTCTGTTATGTATTTTTAAGCTTAGACCTTCTGCAAAGTGAAAACAGATCTGTATATCTCTATTATTTATCAGCAATGTATAAGATATATGGTGCCTGTTCTGAAAACTAGCTCAGAAACATCAGTAAAGCTCTGCCTGGCCCTTGGATATCTGACTGCAGGGAAAACTGCCAATCTGAAGCTTAAAAAAGCCATAGGAACAATTGCAGTATTGGTTGCATCAAAAATCCAAACAATTTAAAATAGACTTCTTGTATGGTCCTGAACTGATATGTAAAAGAATGACTTAGGGGATTCCAGACACATAAATCCAAATTAAATCCTCAAAATTTCAAGTCCAGAAAAGTTACCATATTTCCTTCAATACTGAACAATAAAGTTCCCAAAGTAACAGAAGGTCTTCAGCATGTCCAGAAAGCACCTCAGTCTTGATAGTGCAAAGCTGCTCAGAGCATAGGTCCTGCTAGGAAAATCCAAAGTATTTCTGCCTCTCACCTCTGAAATCTTAAGTAGTTCCAGAGTTCCAGTTTAGCTTTCCATAATATGTATCACTGCTTTCTGGCAGCACATTCTTTTTTCTGCTTTAGGTCAGTGTTAGAGCACTTGCTGAAAGGATGGGAGTCTCAGCTCAGTGCCCTTCCCTGCCTGAGAAGATTCAAAGCCACAGCTTTGCTGTTGCACAGCTCTCTTTACCTGAAGTGCATTGCTGTCAATAAGAGTTGTTGTTGTTTGTCTTTTTATGGTGATTGAGAATTTTAAAGCAGTCCCTGGGAGCAAGGGCCAAAGAGCAAATCTTTACTCATGTACTGCTAAGCCTCCATATCCAGCCTAATTCCCCCTGCAATCTATTTGCATCAGTGTCTATATATTTGCATTGTACTAGTTTTCTCCTGCCATTACACATCACCCTCTAGCACCTCTCTTTGCTTCCACTCTTCTATTTTCTCTTGGGCCCAGGTGCTCTGGAGATAAGTTAGAACAACAGGATGCTGAAAATGTGTTAAGACAGATCAGCCACTTAACTGCACAATGAAACAGAGACAGAAGCAATATATAACTTTGTCAAGAGGAAATGGGATAGAAGTA